GCAGACACAATCATCACAACCATGAACATTGGCTTAGTAAAGAGTAAGATTTTTATTGATTGCAACACTCTGCTGACACATCTCTCACGTCACATCATGACTACTGTTAAAACTGCCTCTGAGGAAACTACCATCGGCAATCATGACCATTGGCATAAGTACTCTGACAAAGGAGAGCCTCTCAGTGATGACGAATTCTAGCCTTAAACGTTATCCTAAATTATGCTTCATGGTTTATTCTGCCTGTACATCCAGCTGCCAACCATTCGGCGTGTTCCTATATCACAGTTAAAGGAGTGACCTCCAGATCTGGGGGGGGGGCTTAACGACTACATATAAACCGTTGCAGACTGTCAGCAGTGACAAAACCATTGTGCCTGAATTAGAATTCAGCAGGATCGTTCCGTAGAAAAACAGGACGGTAATGTTACCTGTAGAAGGGAAAACTGTGAAATAAATCTGGACGGAATGAGGTGACCCATGTGCAAAAATGCTTCCCGCAAACTTTAAACACTGCCAGCTGACGGCAAAACTTCATTCACTATACAGTAGTAGATGCTGTGGCCGGACATCCACCGATTCGCTAGATATTTGCATCGAGGACATATGCAAACGACTGTGATCTATCATAAGTACTGTTCCCATCGTTCATTTTTTCATAGCGTTTGCCTAGAACTTCCAACTGATGTTAAAAATGTTTATGTAGATATTAGAAATAATATTTTAGCATTTGCAATTGACATGAAGCTCCATGTGCATTGATACCAATGATAACTGCATGGATAAATAGATTTTTGCCGAAAGACTCACTCAATGAATCAAAACATTCTTCCATAGAAAACTATTTAAAACGGATTGGGCACTCTGCATCACAGGAGGATGACCGTCTATGAGTCAATGGAAGGAATCCTTGTTGTTGCGACCGATAATTATCCATACTTGATCGTCCCCCCTCTGTGGTTCCATTAAATCGTGGTACTCCGCTTACCATTACGAGAACATGAGGTAGCAAATTTGGCAATTCCGCTTATGATGCATAAACTCATTCTCGTTTCTGTAATGATTAGTAATTTTTATCATTCTTCGAATATTGTCTGCTTATTATTGTAGACAACCGTGATCATACTATCCCGCAATGAATCACAATCGTACAATGATTCGCCTAAACCGAAGCGGTATTTCAACGGCTTGCAGTTGGTCAGTGAACAGTGGCAGTCGCATTGCGGCTGCACTGACAACCTCACTGCAGAGCTATTCAACTTTTGCTATCAACACCCTCTTAACCCCTTCCTCATCGGTAAAAAGTTTTCTTGCCGCTGGTTACCGTACTTAAAAAATCTTGGTCTTTTCGAGCCAATGGAATATGTTCAAGCGAAGGACCTTCATCATCCAGCACCAGCTTTTGTGACAGCCGCCGACAAAAGATTTTTCGACCCGGCGATCACCTTGATCGTCAACTTTCAGTCACATTTTCCGAGGGAAACACTCATCGTCTATGATCTCGGATTCACGCTGGAGCAAGCGGATCAAATAAAGACATCGTGCAACGTGGAGTACAGAAAATTTCCCTTTGAGAAGCTTCCAGGTTATGTGAAAAATTTGAAAGAATATCGCTTCAAGTTTTACATTGTCGCAGTAAGTAACATTCTCTACAGTCTTTGTCTTTTCCTCGTGTGTTACATTAAGGAAGGAGGACACTGAATAATGGGAGAAACAAA